GCTCATGTGATACAGAAAAGAAATTTCACAACGGTCTGCCGTTCTAAATTTTACATGAGCTCATGTGATACAGAAAAGAAATTTCACAACGGTCTGCCGTTCTAAATTTTACATGATTTCACACTACTTTAGGAGAAACAGAAGGTGATTGACACTTGACATGATTTATGAGCACCTGCTTATGCTGCGATGATTCMCAACGATAATCCTAAACGCAAGCATAATCAGAACTATAAAGTTTTTATATTCTTCTGTTTGCTTCATACTTCGCATAAAATCCCCATTCATCGACTGCCCTGCTTATATTGTATTGTTAACGGGCCTTAAGCGTCAATGACGTACTAACTCGATAATTGCTGCTAGCTATTGCTTGTAACTGTCACGGAGTKTCACGCTGTGCCATGACACTTTTGGGAGCTACAGTACAGCTCGAATGTATTTATAAAAAAACGGRTTTCGAATGTGTTAAGCTTTCGAGCATCTTTATGTCGAACACATGTTCTTTTCCTTTGAGCGATAAAAACAAACCGCTTTTTTTTAAATCGTTRTTACCGTGGGGACTGGTCAAGAGTGAATTGAAAGAAATTAGAAAAGAACGAACGTCAAAATATTTCGCAATAGTTCCAGTCCACCACCCGGTAAAAGCTCTACGCTGCTTCAAACAACGATCTATCGACGTCGCGCTGAAATATAATGCATAAACATTTTTGAAAATGAAAAATATCTATTTGGATCTATTTGGACCCATCCTARAGGTATTTGGCTCCACACAAATTGAGAATTTGGCTAGACTTGACACAAAGTCTGAGCTGGCCCTACTACTGATTGATCTTGTCAAATGTCTCCATAGCAACCGAACGACAGATCTATGCCAACGACACGTTCTATAACTACAGAGATACACGTGACCTTGTGCGCGCTTTGGCAGACGAACAAACATTGGTATTGAAATCCATGGGCCCTGAAGTTTTAATTGTGCTTAATAACGTAACTTCTGAAATGGAGGTAAACACATCATGAGCAAGCAAATCATAAAACATTTCACACTTATGCACTTTCTTATTAATTGAGGAACGAATAGTGATGAGGATGGGGGCAGCTGGATGGTGAATAGAGGGGGGAGGGRAGAAAAGTTTTCATCTTATATTGCAATGGCATTGTTGTATCCGCATTTTAYGATGGTATTTAAGACATCTATGTTGATATTGGATAAGAAGATAACAAGAAGAACTACCATTGTGATGAGATGACAGAACAACGTCTCTTCCTTTTCTTACAGCGTATCTTTGAGGAAGCTAACAAAACKCAATCAGAGGTAGATGTTCTGAAAGTTGATAAAGAATTTGCCGATGGACTAGAATTGGGACTTAGGCTGACGATGACAAGTGCAGCTATTGCTATACCAGGCATGAAAAAACTTTGGACAAAATATTTGAAAGACAGCACCGTTGGGAAAAAAATCACAGGGGTAAGGATT